GTTCTGGGACCATCCCCTGAGCCTGCTTGGTCGGGTATTCTGTGTTGTTGTTGGCGGAGCTCTCTGCTATACGTCCACCCGATCCGCCATCTTGTTTGTTCTCTGCTCTGTTAACTTTCGCCCAGTTTACACACAAAAAGTGAAAGGAAGGAAGGGAGAAAGAGAAAGAAAGAAAACTAGGAAATTTTTTTTGGTAATTATTTGGATAGGAATTTGGGTAACATAGGTATAATACATTTATAAAAACTCATTATGTGGAACATTTCATATTTGTGTATTTTTGTTATTGTTAAATGCTCATAGTGACCCCATTATGGGGTTTGCAAGGAGTCACTGGTGGGTTTGAAACACCAACCTTGTATTTGGCAGTCCACTGCTTATCCTACAGCACCACACCATTACTACTATTTTGTTGTATGCATATATATATATATATATATATATATATATATAAATTATAATTTATAATATGCAAGTTGAAGTGTTTGGAGAATTATCCGCCAATGCAAACTCTATGGATTTTAACAGTCTAATCACTTGCACAGAGTCGCCATGGGCCAAGTCAACTATAGCTAACTATAGCCTGGTAGCATGCTAAGAAACAAAGGCTTTTTTCTATGAAGCTAATGTTGTTAAGTGCCGCCGAGTCAGTTCTGACTCATAGCCACCCTGTATAGGGTTTCCAAGGAGCGGCTGGTGGGTTAGAACCTCCAACTTTTTGGTTAGCAGTCCAGTGCTGACCCTACAGCGCCATGGCAGGACTCATCATAATAGCTGGCAGTCATTTTACATTCACTTCTTGTCAAGTTTGCATTCCAGAATAGAGCAATATGGCTAATAGGCTCTTGTTGCTTTTGTTAAGTATCCTCAAGTCTGTTCCAACTAATAGTGACCCTGTATAGGGTTTCCAAGGAGCAGCTGGTCAGTCTGAGCCATCCCCCTTGTGGTCTACAGCCCAATGCTGATCCTACAGCATCACACCAGTAGTCAGAGTCTTAGGCCCCTTAAAAGGAACTCTGATGGCACAATCTAAGCTCTCTGCAGCAAACTGAATGGTCAGCGGTTGGAACTCACCAGTCGCTCTGTGGGAGAAAGTTGTGGCAGTGTACTTCCATAAAAATTGATAGCCTTGGCTACCCTAAGAGGCAGCTGTACTTTGTTCTAGAGAGTTGCTAGGAACTGGAATTGTAATGCAACATGTTTGGTTTTGTTGTGTTGTGGTGTCCCTTAAGGATGAACCTAGGACAGGTCTTAACAGGACTAATTTTTAGCTGTGCCACTTCAAAGGCATTTGAGATTGCTTGTTCTACATGTTAAAGAAAGCGAGAAACCCCGAGAGTCATGTGGAGGGGTGACAGAATTTAAGAAGTACCTGCATTTTCTTTTACAGATTTAAAGAAGACTCTTGCTGTGTTACTGGACAATATTTTGCAGCGCATTGGCAAGTTAGAGTCGAAGGTGGACAATCTTGTAATCAATGGTACGGGAACAAACTTGACCAACTCCACCACAGCTGTTCCCAGCTTGGGTGCACTTGAGAAAATTAATATGGCAGGTAAGAATGGCAATTTTGTGCCCTGTTGTGGTGTCAAACTCTGCATTAGAAAAGAATAAAGGAACACAGCTTTCCTATAAAGGAGAATATCAATTTATTTTTGAATAACAGGTGTTAAAAGGTTTTTATAGTCTCATCAGGATTGGTGATATCTGATGGTTTCTATGCCTCATTTGCACATAATGAGCTCCTGGAATTCACTTCTAATGTGAAGATTTATAGCGTGGATAAATGAAATATAGAGGTTATTTGAGAAGCTCATATGAGGATAAGTCAAAAAATATTGCTATAAAATACTAGAAACCTTTATTAAACAAAAAAATCAAAATGTGAATCTATTTCTCAACACAGCATACATCTAGCTCTATATACTTTTGGAGGTGGTATTTCCATCAGCCCAAACGTCCCCCTCAAAATTCTGAGTTCTTTGATTTACATCACGTCAAAACAGCAATTTTGCCATCCTTGAGGGACCCAAATTGTATTCCTTTTCAGTGTTCTTTGATTTTGGGAAGAAAAAGAAGTCTAAAGGAGCAAAATCAGGGCTGTAAGGTAGATGGGTTACGTTTTCCCAAAAAGTTCTTCTTGGACAACTCTTGCTATCCTTGAAGAATCAGCAAGTCAGTTGCCTGCTACTTATCAATACAGTTTCTAGTTTTCTTAAAATTTATTCCTAATAAGTCCTGTTGTTGTTGTTGTTAAGTACCGAGGAGTCAGTTCCAACTCACAGTGACTGCACAGGGTTTCTGAGGCTGTAAATGTTTACGGGAGCAGAAAGCCTCATCTTTCTCCCGTGGAACAGCTGGTAGTTTCGAACTGCCGACCTTGCGGTTCACAGCCCAATTCGTAACCACTACACTACCAGAGCTCCTTAATAAGTCCTGTAGCCTTCCAGAAAAATCTATCAAGATTATTCATTTGGGATTACAAAACACAGTTGCTATCACCTTCCGAGCCGAATGACCTCTCTCCCTTGATATTAACGGTCCCAGCTGATCCTTTCAGAAGGTACTGTTTTCATTGGACCTTTTTAGTGAGGGCACTAAACAAAAATTACTGAAGCCTGAACAAAAATTTTAAAACCCACTATCATTGAGTTGATTGTGACTCATGACTGCTAGGACATGTGCCCTACTAACAGAAATTGTCCACAGCCACCCACATTTTGTTTGGAATAAATCTGAGCATGTGTGAACTGGACCACTTGTAGCAATACTTTTTGACTTACCCTTGTGGCAGAATTCCTTCCTCTTCCATCAAACAATGACAAAAGGCTATGCTATTTAATAAAGTCTACCCTCTATGGGATTACAGGTCTGCCTCCAATGTGTTTATAACAATGCCAGTTACCGACCACTTGACTGTGACTCTTGGTGACCCTATGTGTGTCAAAGTAGAACTGTGCTTCATAGAGTTTTCAGTGGCTGATTTATGGTAGTAGTTCATTCTTCTAAGGTGCTTCTGGGTGGACTCGAACTCCTACCCTTGGGATCATAGCTAAGCACATTTACTGTTTGCACCCCTGGTGACTTCTCTGTGTATATGGAGAAATATAAATTCTGGAAATGGTACTTCAGAAATAAACAGCCACTGTCTAATCTTAGCCTGATTCCATAGCTACTCGTGGACAACCCCATGCAGTTCTCCTTTTGAAAAATGGTTGGCCACCCCTTTCTTGAAACTGAAATCTTAGCTAAGAGAAGAGAAGTGGATGTAAAACAAACTCAAAACCGTTGCCTACAGTTCACATGGGACCCTGATATCACTGTCTTATGGTTGGCCCCTAGACTTTTGTGGTTAAGTCAGGATTTGCTCTCGTAAGTGTGGCCATCGAGCCAGGATTCGGAGCTTTGGGTGAATGGTTGGAATGGCTGTGGATGAGTTGTATATAGTTCTGGTGGGCGGCAACCGAACTCAATGAAATAGTTAGCAGCTGGATTACTTATGGAATTTAAAAAAATCTAGTTTGCTACATATGTTAGCTTGTTTCTCTTTCCCTATTTCTTATAAAAATTCAGCTGTAAATGGGAGAGACCCTTTTCCTTTCCCATCTACCAATGTCAAAACATTTCATTGTTTCATATTATACAAGCTTGTTGTATTACCTTTAGGTGATATTCTTTGCCTTTAAGCAAGTTTGAAATTGCAAAATATATTTTGAATAATCCTAAGTATTCAACCAAACAAAAGTATTAAAAATAACTTTTAATTACAATACAGAGGCAGTGTCAGCTAGGCCATAAATCCTATCTTCCTTGCGGTTTCCAGCAGCTTCTGTAATTAGACAAGAAAGCTTCCCACTGGGTTGAATTGCTTATTAATAAATGGAACCCAAGCCTCTCCAGTCTTCATTCCCCCCATGCCCATCCTCAGTAGAAAATGCAACTGGGGAGTTCCTGTCTGATTTTATTGCAGTTTGGCATGATCCTCTTTCCCCCAGGTTGGGAATGCCTTTAACTTTGTTGCCCCTCAATACCTGTGTCTTAAGACTTGCTAGTTGCAGTTGAATTAATTCTGACTCCTGGAAACATCATGTGGGACATGCGACCTGCTCCATAGGGTTTTCAAGGCTGTGATTTCAAAAGCAGACCTCCAGGCCTGTCTTTTAAGGCATCTCGGTGGATTCAAACCACCACCCAGCTGACTTTCCTGGAGTTGAAAGGCTATTGTAAACATTTCTGTTGTCATTCTCATCTGATTTGGGATCCTGTTGTCTTTGACTCTGTAGTGGTTTCCCCAGGACTCAGGGCAAAGGATCATGGGTAAACCTCCAGGAATGAAATGGGAGGGAGTTGGTGACTGCTTTGTTGAAATGAAATCCTGACCCAGCCCCTGTGTTAAGTTAATTGACTCAGTTAACAAACACTTCTTGAGCTTATTCTCTAAACTATTGGCTCTGAGACAGATCACTGTTGTTGTTGTTGTTGTTGTTGTTGTTATTGGCCACCATCTGGTTGGCCCCTGGCTCAGAGGACCCCATGCCCAACACTCTCTAAAGATTGTGATCCATAGGGTTATCATTGGCTGATCTTGGGGATTAGATCAACTAAGATCTTTTTTTACTAGTCTTAATTTGGATGAGCAACTGAAACTTGTTCATCTTTGCAGCACAAGCCTTCACCAACAGACAGGTGCTGCCAAGTCGGTTCTGACCCTGCATAGACTTTCGAAGGAGTGGCTGGTGGGTTTGAACTGCTGACCCTGTACCAGGATTCCTTAGTATATATGTTGCTGTCATTGTTAAGTGCCGTAGATTTGGTTTCCAACTCAGTGACCCTGTAGAGGGTTTCCAAGGAGTGACTGGTGAGCTTGAACCGCTGACCTTGTGGTTCAAATCGACTTTGCAGTCCAGCATATTAACCTACAGCATCACACCAGGACTCCTATAGCATGTTGCCAAAAAGAAGAGGAGGGGCTTCAGTGTATATTTCTCACTCATGGTTTGTTTATTCATGAGCAGCATTTCTGCTCTCTCTCTGGCTCAGAGTCATGCTTGCTGTTCTTAAAATGTTCTCCGCATAACAGAAGTGAGTTTGAGCTGGGAGAGAGTACATTTTTATAAGATTCCAATCCTAGTTGAGAGAGTCTTGGTGTGGCACTGTGGCTCTGGACTGGACTGCTATCTGCAACATTGGCAGTTCAAGCCCACCAACGGCTCCTCGGAAACCCTGTTTGTGGTCCCTGTGAGTCAGAACCGACTTGATGACACTTAATAAGAAACAGCCCTGGTTGAGAGGAGTTTCTGTCCCCATCCCTGCATGTGGTAGTTGCTCAGAAGCATTTTCCCTGATGTGTCTTTCTTTACTGCTTACCCTGGTGACTCATTGCTCACTGAAGTCTCTGATTGCTTACTGGTGTGTCATTGCTCACTGATGTCTCTGATTGCTTACTGGTGTGTCTCATTGCTTGCTGATGGCTCATTGGGTCGGCTATAAATTGTCTCCACATTGGGTTCCATAGGAGTTGAAGAAAGGTTCCCTAAATTTATTTTCTTTTCATGAATAGCCGTGTATCTATGTCTGTCTCCTTTTGATGTTTGGTTATGTTCTATGTGGCTCTTATCCAAAATGCTTTTTCTTTTCAAATTTGTCACCTTTGGGTTTTTTGATTATGTGAAAGTGAACATGTCCCTGGAGAAATTTAGGGGAGGAAATGAATTTATTAAAATCAAGAATCTGATTGAGCTGCATATTTGAGCTCTGTTTATTTTGTTAAGGTAGGAGATGAATCAAAAAAAAAGTGCAAATGGAGATTTTAAAAATCCCCAGTCACACAGTAAATTAATTTTTCCAGGTTTACTCCCCAAAGGGCTACTATGCTCCTTTGTCCAAACTATGTACTTACAGAATGATGGTTTGGTTTGGAGGAAGACTGATTCTGCCTTTCTTTCATTTTATGATCTTGGATTAAAGAAGTGAAGAGAGTAGGACTGGGTCTAGCTCTGTACTTGGTTGCCATGTACTAAAATGGGGAAGAAGTATGAAGTATAGATACGTGATTGTGAAGATGTTTATGTCTGTAGCGGTTTGTGGAAACCTAACCAGTGAGATGGCACAAAAGGGTTGGATTCAGCAAGGAGTTCCTCCTTACAGTTCTTCTCCATTTCAATTTGTGACAATTTTCTTCACAGTGTGATATGCTATTTTACATCCCTTGCTCAGCATATGTTGGGCTCTCTTTTCATTGGTCCTGACTGAGATTCCCAGTAATGGTCTTTTCTGGGGAGTCTCATAAACCATGGTGATTATAACTCTAAATTATAATACTTTGGAGAACACTGTGCAGTTGTCTGCATGGGAGAGAATATCTGTTGAATGTCTGTGTCTTTATATACATTTGTTATTTGCTTGAACTGCCAGTAAACCAGTTGTTGACATTCAATGTCAGCTGAATAACTGGCCAGCATTGGCAGTTTGCTAAATGCTAAAATGTAATGATAGGATCCCCTTTCCTTATGATCACACACGATTACATCAGTTGTGAACACTCACACAATATAA